TGATGTCCTGGCGTCCGATGTTAGTGACCGCGAAAAGCATCCGTTCCGTGTGATCCTTGAACCGGAGTACAAGGTCCACGACTTCGGAGATGGATCCGTTCTCGTTTGGTGATCCGTCGACATTGAAGACCGGGATCGGAGCGGACAGCCTGCGTCGGGTGAAACCATGAGCATCCGCAAAGCACGGATGCATGAAGACTCCGGTGGCTCCACAGTCCACCAGGGCCTGCAGGGTGCATCGGTGTTGTGTATCCGTGCTCTGCACTTCAACAGGTATATCTAGCGAAAGCTTGCCGGGCAGCGCGGAGATCTTATAGCTACTGGGTAGCCGCCGTTCCCACTGCGGGCGAAACCTTCGGAGTGTGCGGATTGTAACCGGAGTCGTTTGCTTAGCGTCGGACGAATCATCGGAGTGATAGGAATCGTCTATTTCGTCTACGCTAAGACAAGCAAATCGGTTATTCACCAACGAGGTCGCACTGATCACTCGTTGGTCCGGACAAAATCCGCCGTGTCCGATTCCTCAACCGGGGCCGTTCCCTCATCATCTATTCCTTCCGAGGTCCCCGCACTTTCTACAACATCGGCCGCGGTCAGGAGATCTTCGATGGCGGACATCCGCTCCTCGATGGTCATGAACCGGACATCGTACCGGAGTGGGCACTCGCGGGACATGTGGCCGGGCTTGCCGCATCGGTAGCAGAGCTGCAAAGCAGCGGGCCGGGAGCGGGTGTGGTCGACGTCCATGGGGACACCGGGTGAGAGAGCCTTCGGAGGAGGCGGAGGTTGGAAACGGGGTTGCAGAGGCGGGAGCTGAGTCCGAGGCGCGGGAAGCACACCCGCAGGAGTCCGAGCGACTCCGGAGCCGGCTGCTGGTCGGACGGGGGATCCGGAGTGTCCGGAGTTTCCGGAGTGCACGCCAAAGTGGAAGGATTGGTTAGCAGCACGGTTGTCAGCAACCCGCTGTGCTGCCTTGTACCATCCCTCAAAGTCATCCTCGTCCGGACAGTCTGCGGACTCGGCAACACGGCTCTGGATGATGGAGTCCAATCCGCGGCGGAACTTCATCGTGATGTTGGAGCCTTCGGAGTATCCGGATTGGTCTACAAGGTCCCGGAACTCGTCGAGGTACTCCTGGAAAGTCCGACGCCCTTGGTGGTATCGGGTGGACTCCAGCTTGAGCATGGCGGCTTCGCGTTCCCGATCCGGAAGGAAGCGAGTCCGGAATTCGGTCGCGAAGGCGGCCCAGGATTCGAAGTACGGATCCTTCGGACTCCGGAGCACCATGTCCGCGTACTCCTTGGCGCGATCCTTCTGGAAGAAGGAGAGACACCAGAGGATTTTGGCCTGCTCGGTCGGAAAGTGGTCCGGACAGAGCTGGAAGTAGATGGAGCACGCATTGTAGAACGCGCGACCATCTTTGCGGTTTCCGTCGAAGATTGGGGGAGAGGCGGGCTTCAAACGGGAACGCGGGGTGATTTCGGATCGACTCGGGGCGTGCTGGGAGGCTTCAGTGCCCCTCAGCTCGGAGTCCGGAGTCGTTTTCGGAGTAGTCGGACGGGGTGTTAAGAGGAGCCCTTCGATCCGGGCGAGTGTATCGTGGATGGAGCTGATTTGGGTTTGGTGTTCGTACGTCTGCGCCCACAAGGTCTGCAAAGTCTCGGAGTCCGATCCTGAAGCGACTGGCTCGGATGGCGGGATCTGGCTGGAAGTGCCCGGCATTTCGGAGTCGTCAGGGGAGCGAGGGATGGAGTTCCTTGGGTCCTCAGAGGTGGGTGGGAGTAGCAGGAGAGCGTCCGGAATGTCCGCAAAACCGGAGAGACGTCGGGAACGAGTCCGGAGTGGCGCAGGACGTTTTCCGTAGGGCTCTGGTGCCAGGATGGGAGATCCTGTTCTGCTGTAAGGGCAACCTCAAGATGGCCGACAGCGCAGGCCTAGCAGAGGGAGAATCCAAAGAAATGAATAAGACTAACTACAATACATGAGAGAGCTGCTCACCTAGCAGAGGGAGAATCCAAAGAGAACAGGATGGGGATTCTCCATGCTAGGAAGCGAAGTATATACTGTAGTAGCGTGGGAGGAATGAAGGGTAACTGTACAGTACACCAGCCACAGGTACGAACGAATATCACAAGGTACGAGGGGGCATGTGATAATGAAGTGGAAGGGGAATGTACAGGAGCCGTGCCAGCGACCTGGGGGAGTGGGGACAAGGAATAACGAAGTGGGAAAGGAAGATGGAGGTAGCCCGGACGAGCCCCGAAGTGTATCTACGAGTCCGAGCGTATCCGAAGCGTCCGAGCGAGTCCGAGGCGGGTCCGAAGCGCGGGAAGACTTCGGAGTCACCGGACGGGGCTCGGATGCGAAGGGAGTGAACGGAAGGGAAGCGGGAAGGTAAGGGGGCGAAGGGAAAGGAAAGGGAATGAAAGGAAAGGGAAAGGAACAAGGAGGAAGGGGACGGGACAGGGGGAAAAGGAGAAAATAGGAGTGTCCCCTTACAGAACCCCCCACGGCCTGTCACCCTCATAGGTCCACACAAATCCGTATGCACCCTTGCCAGGGGCGTCGAGGTGGGTACCACTTCAGCATCAAAAGGCCGTCTAACTCCATTTCCATGCAGACATGGTACACATTTGAGGCCGCTAATCTCAGCGCTCACAGTTCCCCCATCGACAAGGTGTTTCGCGAAAGACTGGCGAATGCGATCCACGCCGGCATGTCCATAACGGCGGTGCCACATGTCCATTGTCGCAGGCTTGTTAAGCGACCATGTTGTATGCGCCTCTGGTCCTCCAGGCTTTACCTCGAACACGTACAGTCCATTCTTCTTCGTAGCCGACATGATTAGCTTATGGTTCTTGTCATAGACTCGGCCGACTCCCTGAGAGAAGACCACGCTCAGTCCCTTCCTGTCCAATTCTGACACGGAAATAAGGTCTGAGGAAACGTCGGGCGTGTGGAGAGCATCGAACGTAATTGTTCGTTCCTTCCCGTCTACTATAAAGGTCTTTTTCACCCGACCTTTCCCTATAATTGTGAACTTCGATCCTTTCTTCGACCCGCTACCTTGCGTAGGCTCGATTGACTCGTATGTTTCAAAGGATTCGCGATTGGTAATGAAATGGTCCGTGGCGCCAGAGTCGAGGACGGTCAGGACAAGTTCCTTGATCTCGATCATTCCAATCGTAGCATTAAGGATGCGAACTCGCTCGTCTAGCGGAATACCTTCCCATTTCGGAGGAGTGCCAGCCCACATCTCCTCAAACGAGTCTTCTGACCATTTGACAGAGCCTACTTCCAGGACAGGGTCTCCAGGGTCGTCCCAGGGATCACCTCCCAGGTCCAACCCACCATTAGGTGCCGAACCGCCAAGCAGATCGTCATCGGTCATCACATATGCGCTGAGTGCGTAGTGTTGGGACAACGACGATACTGCCATGTTGGACGCCGCATTCGCTCCCGCACTTCCTCCACCCGGGTTGCTCCCGTCACGTTTCCCTTGCCACCAGTCCGGCCACTGTCCAGCTTTACCACCCCCATCACGGAAGCAGTCTTCAGCCAGATGCCCTTTCTTCTTGCAATTGGTGCAGGTTTTGTCCTCTTTCTTTTTACGTTTGCCGGTCTCTAATTGCGCAATTCTTGCCTGAAGCGCCTGAATGGTGGCCATGGTTGCATCGGTCGTGAGCAGCTGCTTCGAGCTCCCGGCTACCTTCGAATCGCGCTCTTCGACTCGAGCGTAGAAGAGTTCAATCTGTTGAATGAGGTCTGCTGGAGCCTTGATCCCCGCCATGGCTTGAAGCATAGTGTCGAACTCCTTTCCAGGTAGCGACGAGGCAATTACGGACCGGAAATCCTGGTCAGAGTATTGATTCCCGTAGTCCATCGCTTCCTTGCGTTTGACTTTGAGTGTTTTCAGGAATTCAGCAAGCGTTTGACTGCTGTTCGGGGCGAACCGTAGATTTTTGAACGCAGAATCAGCGAACGTCTTACGCATCTCATCACGACGGATGTAGGTATTCGTCAACTCCTCCCATATTTGTGCCGACGATTTGGTAGAGACGTCGTCAACCAACGAATGGAGGTCTTCAACATTCATCAATATCGTCGATTTCACCTTCTCATCTCGATAGAGCCATTCTTCGAGAGAGGGGTTTTGGGAGTATGATAGAGTAGGTGGAGGGGGAGTCCCCGGCATAGGGATTCTCGCTGGTTCGTTGCTGCCAGATGCGGCAGTCGTAGGCGTCTCGACACGCGGCTTAGGGATGTCACCATTCAGATACCCCTTTAATCCCCACTGTCCTGCCACGGCTTCGAGCTTCACCTTGAACGGGTTGAATGGCCGTATTCCGTCGAACTTCTCGTCGGCGGGTAGTTCCCATATTGTATTGATTACACCGGACATTCTTGCGATGTAACGATTTTCTTTTAGGGGTTAATTTTCAGTTGAGCTTTCGACGGTATTCTTTACAGCTTGTGCGCAAAAGTATACGTGTGTTGACTTTGTATATTGTAAGCGTTCAAGCAGGGCCCATAACCTGTAGAATGTGCACGATAAGCGTGAGTTCTCAGCGTATCGAGCAATATGTTCGAAGCTCGATATATTCCTATACAAATACATACCTGTAGAATGTGTACGATAAGTGTGAGTTCTACAGTGGATAATCAATAAGTAACTGGTCTGTAGACGGTATGAATATGGGATAAGCCTACCTCAGCGTATCGAGCAATATGTTTGAAGCTGAGGAGGCGGAAAGGGGTCGAAACGAAATTTATATCTACGGAACTGACGGAAAAGGAAGGTTATAAACTAAATAAGGAAAAGGAAGTAGCGCTTATGCGCTAAGTGGTCGGTGCGTGATCCTCTATTCTCCAACACATCGAGCCGCTCTGCGCTTCATTTCTGACAAGTCAAACATTTTCGATTTTTGATCCTATCATATTGCAAATACGGACAAATAACGTCCTGTCCACTTTCTTCCTCAACTTCTTTCACAAAAATTATGGCCGAAATCAGGAGTCTTTCAGTTTGCATAGAGGCGGCGTTGCAGAGGGACCCTACCTTTTTGGAGCACAAGGTGGAAAAGTCAGTGAAGACCAGCACTCGTAAGCATCCGCATTCAGCAGGATATCATATATGAGTCAGACCGTCCTTTTTGCCTAGATACATCGCAGGCATCTGAGGTTCTCGCCGAAAATGTCGAAATGGAACACCTCGATATCCTGGAGCGTCTGCGAAGACGCTATACCCATACCATAGGATCGCTTGTATTGGATTTTGTCCCGGTGACAGCGCAGGGTCAATTGTACTTTAATTCAGCCACATTGATTTTCCAGGTGAGTCCTGACACTTCCCCTCCATCCACCACCTTACGCCTCACGCATAGGATACTGAGGGTCTCAATATCAACGAGGTCAATGAAAGTCACATCAACAGCGCCCACCAAGCAAGGCTCCAGATTGTGTTGCGGACGACTCGCTCGATCGTATACGAATTGGCTGCTAGGAATAAGGAAGAGGGAGCGGAGATCAACCTGGAGGAGGTTAAAAGAATGCTAAAAAAACTGGAAATCAGGATGAAAGGAAGGCTAACAAACGGTATTTTCTCAGTATTTCCAGACGAAGGCCTGACGCTCCGGTCGGACGAGGCTTCAATTGAGGAGCTATGCCTAATGACTCTGGAGGACAAGACTAGTAAAGGGCTGGGGCAGGTCATCGACTTTGATGGGGTACAAGAGGGCGATGTGCCCAATTCGACCACCCTGCACGCCATGAAGCAGGTAAGTCCCTTGTCGGAAGTTGTTCTCTAGCTGATCAAGCCTTTCAGGTTTATACGCAGGTCGCCCTCTCAAATGGCAGCCTCGGCCTGATGACAGGGTTACGAAACGGCACCTGGGTCTACGGACACAACGAAGAGCCAAGGAGGTCTGTGCTAACGAAAATACTCATTAAACGTTGCTGTCTGACAAGCATCACCAGTGGAAATCACAAAAGGTGCGCTCCTCAGCTTTCATTTTCACCGCATACACCCTCAACTGAGCTTGCAGGATCCTATATGCGACGAAGAACCTGACTATGGAAGGACTTGGTGATGCCGAGCGGCTGAAAGTCCTTCTTGAGGCGGAGATATTGTGTTTCTTGTATGCTGTTCATGGCACTGAGTTTGGAAGGACAATCTTCTCAGAACCTTGCTTGGGCATTTTGCGTTCGTAACTGTGCCCAGTCGCTTTCAGATTTTGTAGCTCAGAGTGCCATTTGACATTTTAGCAAGGTCTCGGGAGACATGTCCCTTTCCCTGGTGTTCCAGTGTCGAGAATGCCATGTTGTTCATGTGGATGTTGGTGAGCCATAATTGCAAGTTCTAAACCCCCAACATGTAACCATATTTCACTTCGCAGCTCTCTGTCCTTTGCCTTCGAATCGCCGGTCCATCCTTGCTTCGCACGGGCTGGATCAATCTCCACCTTTGGGCATCGGATCATTTGGTGGTCCGGCTGCATGCCGAGCGCAGATCGAATTCTGGGTGGGATATCTGATTGCCACAATCCTCATCTTGTCTAATGAGAAGTCAGCTGGCGGCTCCCCCTTTTGCTTAAGACAGGCCAAGAACTTGGTCAAGGTGCACATGGCGCGGTCAAAACCATCCGTGGTATGAATCTTGTTGTCAAAATCGGGAGCGCAGATGTTATCAGACATGAAGCTTCTTTCTATCTACGAGCCCGCCCCCATCGCAACCTGCCCATGGTTGCTGACTTCGGCGCATTCGACATCGATGGTTCAAACAGGTGCGCCCTTGTACTGGAGCTTGCTAGGCCTGTGGATGACGCTTCCGTGTACGCATTCCTTGTTTGTTGCTTCATATCTGTGAACCCATTTGCTTTTGTAGGGACCCATACGAAATTTCCAAGGCCGTAGATGACCTCAACACTCGACTTCGTATTCACCATCACGATATATCCCTTGCAAATATGGTGAGAGGTATCGCCGATGGGAAGCTCAAGATTATCGATTTTGCGGAGGCTGTGGATGCAGAGGACTGCGATAAAAACTGTGACCGCGATTATATCAAAGTAGGGGCCTAATGCAGCCCAGACGGTGGCTCAATTAATATTATATGTGTCTCGCTCAGCTCAGAAACATGTGACGAAAACGGAGATGCCGCCAAAACGGTGTGTTGTGTTATGCTCATTAAGACCACATGTATAATTACTGGCCCATGTCGTACAAGAAATCATGCACTGTGCAATTAATTGCTATGTCCCACAGGAATATTATCACTTGGGAGCAGTCCGCTCAAAGGTGCTACGGATAGGAGGCCCCTGTGCTAGTCACGTGCAAAAGAACAACCAGACAACCCATCGAATAAGCGCCCAATGGCTGAGATGGCCGTCGAAGTGCGCAACCCTTTGATCCTAAAACCATTACCTTGTTAAGCTGCGCCCATTTGACAGTAATGGTTCCCACTACTTGTATTCATCATTTACGCATGCATTAGGACCTTTGGACGCAACGGGATGCCTGTTGGGGAAGACATGTCGAGTCAGGTCATATGCTTGAGGGCAATTTCCACCTAGCGATTAATTTTGGCTGTTATTCACAAATAAATCTTCAAATATTGTGCTTTTTAACAGAACACGGCACTCGCGGACGTGCCTCCTTGCGTGTGTTGCTGAATTCCGTGGTTCCACCCAGGCTGGCTATTTCTGGACTGCCATGTTTTTTTCACACACGTATTTTCGCCGCACGAAGTCAGCATTATATTGTCAATTCACCAAGAACTGTAGAACTTGTGCGAGAGTGTGCGAGAGTTTGGAAGAGTCGGATAGCGCCAGCCCGAGGACGTGATCATGTAACCGGATCTGTCACGTTCCTTCCAATGAGCTCAAGCGTTTCTGTGAGTACCGTCTAGTGATTCGTGAATCAAGCTGAAAATAGGTCCAATATCCTACTTTCTGAACCAGCCTCCGCTCTCGATTCGAAATCCTTGAGGCCATCCTAGACTGTCAGTTTCGCATCAAGCATGTGATGTGCCCTGTCGACCAGGACATGGAGCGAAATTGATAGGCCGAGATCGTGACTTTAGACAGTGTTAGAAGAGTAAATTGAAATGTATTTTACCTTCTCTCCTTGTATTCAATTGTCCTTGATCATGATCTCATAGATCTTCTATGCTACACAGCAGAGTTAGAATTGCTTAGAAGAACTAAATTAACAAATGATTCAGACAATTGTGCTATATGTGATTCACTCATTCTGCCATATATACAGGCAGTTCAACATCACCAGGGGACCCAAAGTTAAAAACCCCTAGCTACCCCTACAATGACAGGAGATCAGTCACGTGCGCTTTACTGGCAACTGCCTGCTGGTCTTCGGGGTGACGTGATCCAAAGTGTGCTTGAAAAAGGCAGGGTCCTGCAGGAACGCCATATCTATGAAAACCCTAAGACTGCTGGTGTTGGCCATATTTTTGTGAATAGATGGGTTTTCCGATGCGTGTTGCGGAAGAAAGCGGAGGGACATTATTTGTCTATATTTGCCTCCCTTTGCGATATGATACTTATATTGTATTTGGAGCTCCTTTACGAGCGACTGTCTCGGTGATTATGGGAGCTAAATGAAAATCGCAGGATAAAACTGCCCGCTATATTACCCTAAGTCTAAGTGTATCTTACCCTAAGTATATAGTAAGGTAAGGCTCCCCTTAAGTTTCCTAAGTCGTGGGCCCGCTGGATGGCCTTCCGTACTTTCAGAAACACTCAGGAGGTGGTTTGGCCTTCCAGGAGGCCCGCAGCGCCGCCCGCTGTATTGGAAGGGAACGGTTAGAAATTTAAATAACGGTGCGTAGATGGATCTTGCATGCTTACCATCATTCCCACTTCAGCGTGGGCAGCCAGGAAGGCCACGGCGACGGTGGTACAAGGGAACACTTGCCATTACATATGTGGGCTGCCTTGCCTAGCCAGTTAAACGGCGGGAGGTGGCATGGAGGCGCGTGAGTGAGAGTGAGTGAGTGAGTGACACTAAGTTGATTGGCTGAGTCGATGCAATAGAGCCAATAAAACCACCCACGAGTAACACTGGTGGACCATGGAGATAGGCGCCCCTGCATATTCCCTCGACACTGAATGGTGCGGCGATTCCCAGCCTGGCGGAGGTCTCGGAGGAGACTATTGATTTATTTGTGGAGGAGGGTAAGGCGGTTGGTGGGGCGGTAGTGTTAACTTGTCAGGGGTTTGGGGAGTATGAGGTGCCCAGAGTGTTCGAGGACTTGGGAGACTTGGGAGATGTGCTGGAGTATGTGGTTTTGGAGGCGGGACAGGTTCGTTGATCATGGATCATGCGGTTGGGTACTAGGTCAATGTCAGTATGCTCGAAGGTCAAAAATCTGGTCGAGCAGCCATCGTTGAATACTCTTATTATGATATCGCGCCTATACATTACCCCGACACCCAGAAAGATAGGGAATTTCCAGATGCGTTGAAAAAACTGTTGCCTTTCGCGTTGTCGAGGATGCGGTTCAATTTGTGAAACCCGTTAACGCTTTGTGTAAAAGGAAACAACGGCAGAACACAATAATTGCATCACGCGGTCCTTTGTCCTCGTCTTGTACAATTGGGACCAGCACGCACGCTTCAGTGTGGCTCCTCCTGATAGCCTTAGACGGGGACGCAATGCGCTGAAAGTAATCAAAGGTACTCCTCCCGCAGGATGCAATGTTTATCACAGTCCGCGGCATTTGCGCCCTTCGCAAAATCAATAATCTTGAGCTTCCCGTCGGCAACACCCCTCAACATGTTCGCGGAATCGATGTCGCGATGATGAAAGCCGAGTCGGATATGTATGTCTTGGAGTGCCGCGTTGACCTCCCATCTCTCTCTATCAAGAAATATAAGTTGACGAAGCTCAGCGAAACTAAGCTAACGCACGGGGTATCACGGATAGGATTCGCATATTCCAGGACGAGCATGGATGCGGCTGAGCTTTCAAAGTCAAAAACTCCAAAGTCTTGAAGAATGGGAAGGCCTTGGTACTGTCGAGCTTTGCTATACACGGAAGCTTCTCGTTTAATTATATCTGTGCGTCCGATTTTGACAACGATGCTTGTGCCCGCCACTCGTTTGACCGTACCATGTGCGCCGCTTCCAAGTTCTAGACCGATCTTCAGGAGAAGAGGGATTTGCAGGCTGGTACGACATCATTATGGGAGAATATCTCAAGACCCAACGGCACCAGTGATCCGATCGGGGCCAACGGTACAACCTGTGTACCCCGTGGTCTGTGCGTACGGCATGATCTGATGACCATAGATAAAGGCAGACGCGGCCCGTTCGAAGCAGCGATGGACCGGCGATTTGGAGGATCAGAACGGAGAGCTATCATGCCGATTAATGAACACCAACAAGCTTTAGACGTGACGATACTCTCACCAACATCCAAAGAAACAATCCCGCCTTGAAAAGGCACGATCCCTCTTTCCACGAAGGCTGAGCGCATACATTTGCTGAAGAAATGCGAAAACTACAGTTCAGACAAATTGGAGAGTTTGCTACGATTAGCGCTACTGACGTAGAATATTGTCGTCGGCCGACAAGTCACCAAGTGCACTTCGAACTACGCCAAAGGCGTCCAACACCTCCTGTAATCCCGGCGGGAAGCTGTACGGGTGTTGCACTTGAACTGCATGAAGAAAGCAGAGCACTTCGGCTTCAAGAATGACTTCCAACTGCTGAAACGGATCAATGCCCTTCGGAGTGAGGTTGGTCGTTTTGTACATGACGTTGGGCCTGCGTAAAATAGATGAGCAGATAGCAGCAGCAGTGAAATCAATGGAAAATACCAACCCCGTCTTCTGAAGGCCGTAAACCCACGTACCGTTTTTCAAAGCGGTCAATAAGCCGAGTTCACCTGTAGAAAGGAGAACCTGCGTGAAAACCTGACCGAGTGAGCGGTAATCGGTAGTCAGTATGCGGGAATAGTGCCTACTTGTCTGACGGCCTTTTGAGTGGCTTCCGGCACATCCGGAGTTTCCACTGCTCCTTGGATCATTGGGTGATCAAGGTCAACAGCTTCGCCGCTACCCATTCCAGGGCTTGCTTTATCTTCAATCGCCATCAGAACGAGCATGCGCATTTTCGGATCCTTTTTGAAGTCGACATAGCATCGGCCCTCACGCGAAACAAAGTCTCGCTGAGCGACGTTTGGGTGTGGACACGGATATTGTTGAGCTGCTCTTCAAGTTGATTCAGATCAATGTTTGCTCCGTTCTTGTTCTTTTTCGAGGCTTGTTCAAATATGACGAAGCACAATAGGTGACGGGCTAACTGCAATCGCGTATGGTGGCTGGTGTTGATGTCGCCTTCGTTACATTCTAGGATCGAAAGATTTGACGGCTGCGATAGGACAAAGGCCATATCTGTAAGAGATCATTGTAATGCAAGATAAGTAGGCTTCTACACGCCTTTAACAGATCTAATCCATCCCTTAAATAATTCAGACCCTCCGGCGTGGTTGGGACAAGATCAAACAGATGACAGCCTAGAACCCTTTCATATCTGACCCGAAGGTCATCTAGGATATCAGCCTTCGGTAAATGTACGTCCTGGGCTAAAATGTCGCTCGCAGTGGAATCGTCTGAAATGGTGTTCGTGATTCATGCGCAAATGGTGAAGCAAGGGCACGCTTACGGGTGCTCGTGCGCACGCCGAGGCCAACCATATGTTCCAGACATTTTAGCGATGTCTCTCTGAGTTGATTGATCGCTTCTCTGACGGTAGGGACTGTAGGATGCATGGGGTGTCGAAGACGTGGGTGTCGAAGACATGCGAACACTTTGGTGGCCTGATTGGTGTTCGAACCAAAGTCTAAGCGCCGACGAGCGCTTGGCATTCTTCCTCTACCACATGTACCACCACCAGCTCCTCCTCCTCCTCTGCCTCGACAACGAGAATCGCAGTCCGCTCGCACTCATCTTATCTCTCGAGTCTCTTCCACCACCTGTTCTCATTACTCAAGGGGAGCCACTTCGTTTTGCGCCAATCCCAGCGTACCTGTATCCGATTTACTGACACTCAGCTGTCGCAGCATGCAGATCTTCGTCAAGACCCTCACCGGAAAGACGATCACCCTCGAGGTGGAGTCATCTGATACCATTGACAATGACAAGGCCAAGATCCAGGACAAGGAGGGGTCTTCCCTGTCCACGAACAGAGGAGCTGAACGCATGGCGCGAACAGCATCCCACCCGACCAACAACGCCTGATCTTCGCCGGCAAGCAGCTCGAAGATGGGCGCACCCTCTCCGAGTACAACATCCAGAAGGAGTCAACGCTTCACTTGGTGTTGCGCCTTCGTGGTGGTATGCAGATCTTCGTGAAGACGCTTACGGGCAAGACGATTACGCTGGAAGTGGAGTCCTCGGACACGATCGATAATGTGAAGGCGAAGATCCAGGACAAGGAGGGATGAGTACAGTTTCTAACGCAGTGGAGTTTCTAACGACGCTGAAACCACTCAATCCCCAGCATCCCTCCCGACCAGCAACGTCTCATCTTCGCTGGGAAGCAGCTCGAGGACGGATGTACCCTCTCCGACTACAACATTCAGAAGGAGTCGACCCTTCACCTGGTGTTGCGCCTTCGCGGTGGCATGCAGATCTTCGTGAAGACCCTCACTGGCAAGACCATCACTCTCGAAGTTGAGTCCTCGGACACCATCGATAATGTCAAGGCGAAGATTCAGGACAAGGAGGGTATCCCTCCCGACCAGCAGCGTCTCATCTTCGCCGGCAAACAACTCGAGGATGGCCGTACTCTTTCTGACTACAATATTCAGAAGGAGTCGACGCTCCATCTTGTCCTCCGTCTTCGCGGTGGATTGTAAGCAACACATGAACGGTCTGTTCACGCTACGTCTTCCGCGGCCTTGGTTTACGGTGTCAACGTTTTGGGAAGTTTCTTACTACACACAATGGATTTCGTTTGAAATGAGAGAAATTTTTAATATTCACTGTGATGGCATGAAAGAGTTAAACTACGACACATACTACTACCATTCGAGTTCTGGGTCATAAACGTAAACGCGCCGCCTTGCTGATGCTCGTTCATCCGTTTCCGACCTCCAGAGCGTGTTTTCTGGGTCTCTTGCGGGTGCGAGGTCGTTTAAGGCCGTTGGGATGCGTTGGGCGCCAATTCGATGGGTAAAACCCATCGCCTGTCGTGCCACAAACATTTTAAAGTCCGAGGGAGCATTCATCTTAAACACGCGTTACAAGCGCCATGTTGCCCCTGTCCCCCTGTCCGCCTCCTCCACTCAATCTGTCGGATCGGATTCCAGCCAAGTAGATTTATTATCCCGTTATCGGCGCAAGGAGCGCGCTATAACTAACGAATTGGACAAGTTCTGGAAGCTGCCTCAAGAAGATATGGATTCATGCGACCCGATCAAGTGGTGGTACAGCCATCGACTTCAATTCCCTAATTTGTAGCGCTGGTGAAATGTGAAAGACTGGGTTTGACACGGATGTGCGTAGGATGAGCGTAGAGGTGTGCGGCTTGCTTTAATAGTCTTTTCGAAACTGTTTCGTAACTAGCACCAAGTGTGACATTCCGGTCTTCCTACCACCAACACCACCTACTCGACGCCAGTACCCACCGTAAACCCATCATCGCTGCCCACCAACCCTCAAAGTCCGCAAGCATCTCAACGTTCAACGTCAACACTCAAATATTGATATTGAGGCCTCATTAATCATTGTCGATCGCAGACGGATGTGAACAAGCCGACGTGGACCTTATGGCATTGTTGTGAGCACCTACCTTCCCTATCTCCCATCACATTTCTCATTCTCATTCCACAACCGCCTCTTCCTGCGAGCAAATCGTTCCCCGGAACTTCCCCTGTACGTCCATCCCTCCTCTAGGTAGGTACTTGTGGTGTGCATGGTTGGTAATAGGCGGTCGAGTGATGTGACGGGCGGCAAGAAGATAATCGCCTCTTCTACTGCGTGCGCGCGTGCGTAGTCATGGCCTTGGTTGAAGTCGACTGGTGTGGATTTTCACTAACGACGATTGTGTTAGCGCGGAACTGCCTTCTTTCGTTAACATTCGCCTGTTTACTTCCCCACTCTTTGTCCCTACTTTCCCCGCTCGTTTCGCCATTTCCCCGCTTCTCGTCTCCCCATTCAGCCATTCTCGGCTGCTCGTCTCATCTCCTTGGTCAATATAGTGTCGTCGTCGTGTTCCAATGACTATCCCCGTGTAATGTATATCTTCTCGCAGCCCTGATGACTGTTCTGGGACATTCTGGGATGTAGTGGAGGTGGATTGGATGTGGAAGGGTCGGATATGTGTTCCCCTTTTGGATTCTTTCTTTTTGTTTCGTCGCTTACATTCCACCACATATTCTTCATTGTTGTCGAGACCTACGTGGACGCGCTTGTGTACGTAGTCGTTGTGGGTGGTGTCTGGGCCCTTGTGAGGGTCGTGGCATCGATCGGCTTCGTATTAACCGCTGGTAGAGCTGGGCGGATGAGACTGCGTGCGTTGACACAGAAATGCGTCAGATTCGCATGCGTTCGTTCGACAGAGATGAAACATACCTTTGATCTTTTTCGTTCGTGTCATTCCATTCCCTCGCCTCTCGATTGGTCTCCATCAGCCGCAAGTCGATTTGATTAGATTTGATTCAAGTCGAGTCTCCAGCGAGCTGCGCAAGCTGGCTAGATGGGTAAATGTGGATTAGATATACGTGAGTCATCGCTAGAGCGTGTTCTTACCTAATTCTGGTCGGGGATGGGCTTGGCGTAGGCGCAGGTTTGAGAATCGATATGGATGGAGTTTGGAGTGGATGGGCTGCAGAGTGAGCATGAACGGATGGCTCGCTACAGAAAAGTGGAAGGAGGGAATCTGCGGCAACGACTGAGCTGAAATGAAGCAAAGGAGCACTTACGAATCGAGTCCAGCACCGTTTTGTCGAGTCAAGGAGGAGTGACTCAGTGGGGATGGAGAACTTGCTGGGTTGGAAAAGAGATCAAGAGCTCAGGACACTTGAGATTTGGAAAGAAGAGGCGAAGTAGAGAGGCGAAGGGGAGGTGACACCACTTACGACAGCCAGCGCACGAGCCAGTGAATGGCGACGAGAGGCAGCGAGGGGAGAGAGAACGCGCAGCTGCATGGGATGACCAAGGCCACCACAGGATCCATTGCAGCGAATTTTCACAGATTTTTAAGTCAGTTCAGGTCAAGTTGTCGCAGCGCGGCTGCTTCTTTGGTGAGATGGAAACAGCGACAATTTCATGTCTGAGGCGCTGTCCGTCAGCAGATATGTGCCCAATTGATGTAATGGCAGGCTCGTTACTGAAGACATCGCCGAGGTCAACTTTGAAAACACCGTCAGTCTTCATGCGCTTTCGTTTATTCCTGCTTCGCGACATTGGTGGTAAGTATTCGGGGAGTTTGGGTTATCCAGAACGATACCCACTGTACTATCATGTACCCATATTCCGAGTGTCGTTTCGCCATCTGCGGGCCCTTGCTTAGCTTATGTTGAAGCCAGGGCATGGAAACCGATTTCTAGATGAATCTGCATAATCAAGATTAAAGTCAGTTTTATTTCAGGGATCATATATTCAGCAATAACATACGACCAAGGTCGCCGCTTGATCCAGGATATTGAGAAGAATCTTCGATGGCAGCAGCTAGGGGTTTGCTAGGGGCTCAAGCACATGCTGGCCGTTTGCACGTGCTTCAGTTGAGAACGCGCCCGACCGCGTTTTGGGAACATCACGGCGTATCACCTACAGCATCGAAGCATGGCGCGTCAAGGCCTAAGAATGGGTGGTGGTAAGTACTTATCCTGCTCACTTCATCATCTTGGTTTCAAACACACCCCGGATCCGACTTTGGACCTGGGAGTGCCCTTTTTTCACTACGCCTGGATCTGACCTTGAAACTAGGCATTTCACCTCATTTTCCCTTGAATATTTCCAACCCTTTCCATACTCATAATGCAATCTTACTTACCTTTTCCTGGCCCTTTCCAATTCAGAACGCACAACTAGGTCGGGTGCGGCCTTTTCTCCATGGCAACTGCCCATAATGTACAATGCACCCATCGACCTGGGCAAGATATTGGACGCGGCAATCACTAGGGGGGGATCTTGAGCAACCAGATCCCGGCGCGTCCGACCCAGAGGAGTTGGCTCAGGACTCCGACCTCTCTGATCCATCCGACTCATCATCCAACATGCATTTGGATTGTGAAGGGGGCAGGGATGGGCTATGCGCTGCTGGCGCAAAAATGGATGGCAAGGGTGGAGGTAACTGCGGCGCACCACCACAGGGGACGGGCGCAAAGACTTTGTCGACTTTGTCAGCCACCAGCCACCAGCCAAACTCCAAGGCTCGCTATGAGGCAAAGAAGCGCGTCAAATATTGGGAGAAGCGCGCCAAAGCATTGGAGCAGGTGGGGGCATCGGTCAAGTTGGTTTCAATCTGTCGCTGGGCACAATCCCGCCAGGTACCTGCAGGAATCAATCTCAGGGAATTTGGCCACACATCCACTGCCTACCTTGGCATACACGGCCAGGGCTTCATCTAGAATAGTTGGAATCAAATAAACGCAGATTGATAGCATTTGCTTGTTTTGAGATGGGGCGGAGTTCGACCGAGTGTCAGACCCAAACAATGTAGCTTGGGGTCACACAGGGCGGATAATCCCGTCTGAGACTGAATGGGGCCACAACCGAGATGGGCTGGAATTCAACCTGCGCGAGCACCCGCGACTTGCCTCCCTGATTGATAATCGATTTCCCTCCTCGAGGCTCTAAGCTGAGGGCCCAGCTGCTATCAGATCCACGAAAACCGTTCTGCATCATGAAACTATCAGAACCTCGAGGTATGTACGAGTTCTCTTCCTGGTTTCCGTTGGTTAAGCCCTTTACAGTGTGGAAGTCGGAGGGAGGCAAATTTATGTGTCTAGCCTGCAAAGACGGACGCCAGCGTGACTTGCGAAGTGCACTGCGACACGAAAATATCAACGATCATCTCACTGCGACATCATTTTATCTCGCTCCAATTGAGGCTGATTCAGTCTCTGCCACATTTGAGTCGAACTTCCACTCTGAGATCCCTAGTGGCCCTCTATCGATGGCGCTCCAAGGTATTGCAAGTAATTCTACAAATTCGCCGCCACCGCCTTGCTCCAATCCTTTCGCTCCAAGTAATGTCCACGAGCCGTTCCTTGACTTTGGCGTGCTTGGAGACGAACGGTCAAACTGGCAGCTCGAACCTGCAGGCTTCGATTCCGCAGTATCTGCAAGCGCGGCCTCCCTTGAAGACTGGCTGGCAGACCAACGGTCAAACGATGGTAGCAGCGACGACAGCAGCAGCCAGGGGGATGTTGATAGTGACACGGAGACTTGTAAACCATCCTAACCCGCGCTGTGAACAAAGCTAATCCTGATTCAATCATTTGTAGTCGATTCCGAAATTGCCTTGGGAAGGCAGCATGCCCGGTATTCAAAAACGTTCGAGAAGGAAAACCCCAATTGGTTTCCTTGGCCGGACAAGGAGGTTAGTAGTGCCGATTTTCTGAATCGGGTAGAGTTTTCTGAAGGCTGACTCACTGGGATTAGACATGCATTCTGGATGTTTTGCGCCACTTACCTGGTTCAATGTTCTCGCAAACACAGTACGAAACGATATTATGGACGATACACTCACTTGGTGTAAACAATGTACCAACAATTGATGCTATAAGATCTTTTGAGGCGGAGATACAGCGACGCTGCGGTATTCGGTCGTTAAGATTTGAAGGTAAGAAGCCTTGCCAAAGATGCCGTGTTTAAACACAACCACACAGTCTATATGGGGGTAATGCACCATGAAATTCAGGTTTGTGGTCCTTCATCCCGTCGTATTTCAATTTGAAGATGTTTGGGCAGAGCTACATTATTGCGAATGCAAGACAGCTAGGGTTTGACAACATAATAGGTTTCAATGCCAGAGAGAAGGTTTTGCGAGAGGCCATTAAGTTGAAGTGTAGCACCGCACGAGCTCAGCTTCGCACAAATGTAAGGCTGTAGTTGAATAAATTTGGCTATTCAACATCACTGATTGTGCTTATCGTAGATCATCCACACGATCTCAGGAAAGAAGAGATATCCATTGGACAGGGCGACAGTCTTTCTTGCTGAGAAGCTTAAGCGGGGTGGAGTTACCAATAAGCTCAAGGTTGAATACATTCTCCGAGTCGCCCTTCTGGTAAGTTTGTGACCATGCATTTGAGTCCATCATAATCCTATTATTATTAGCGGCGGTTTGCTTCGGATGATGCTCAAGAGGACACCAGGCGTGGAAAACAGCAACACGAACAAGATGAAGAAGATACCGCAGGTGATGACTCAGATGGGGAGCGGCCAACCAAGCGTAAGAAGAAAAATACATTCTGGGACCGGCGCGATGCCTACATTGCAGACAAAATCAAGCGCAATGGCAATCAGATGGACAATGCGGGCTGGAAGCTGTGAGTACATTCACATCATGCTTTACTCCTGGCTGCTCATGCTGGTATCAAAGGTTCTTAAGTAACCTTGTACAACAAGACATCGAACAATGGGGGCCCCTAGACAGTCATGTGCGTGCTGAGGCACTGCCAATACCTTCACCCTCGAGCGCTTCCCCATCATCCGCAAGACATGTCAGCAGTGCAAGAAGCCTACGATATTCAGTACCGCCGGCATCCGATGCTTCTGTCTTTTCCTCCGCTCTTTCAACTCCTTCCCCACTTCCGCAACGCCCATCTGCAATGTTTCCGGTTCATGAAGACTATACTTCACAAACTCAGCATCCTTCTAGAAGCAATATACACTCTATCATGAATTAGCTCGCTTAGATGTACTTCGTGAACAGCCTTAGACACTATGAATTGAATGATTTCACACTTATTCTTCTCAATAAGGAACAAATAACAAGGGTGCAGCAACGGAATCGGAAGCTATGCCGAGACCCAAAGGCCTAATCGGGCACTCCCACGTGGCCCACAAGAACTGGTCCTGTATGAGAATGAAACGGAGATGGCACTAGGATTTTGTAACCTAGCCTCCAATTGGGCTGGGCAAACTCCAGATAATCTCGGGATTCACTTGAGACAGGTCCAATCTCGCGTGGTTGACGACTCACTCCAGTGAATCCCTGGCTGTGTATGCGACCACCCGCACTCGCCAAATCAGCAGATCGCCAAGCTGCAGCAGAAGGGGTTCACCCTTCTTCCATGGGATGCAAGGTAAGGAGGCGCCACTAATTTCAATGGAAAAAACCTTACCTCACCTTGCCAGGAACGGACTCCTTTTGTTAGACAAGCAGGGGCATATCTTTGCGGGCGCCACTAGTTCCAGAGATCCCGGATGGGTCCAAGTCACCACTGATGCCTTCGACATGGTATCTCACACACGCCGGGCCTGCGCCTTCATGCGCAAGCAGTTGAATCATAGGAGGGGGAGGCTTCCCGCCCTAGCAAGGGGAATATCGTATGGGGGCGGCCAACAGGTACCCATGGCTCTAAGAAGCTTGAAGGTCAACGACGCAGCCCTGAGCCACCTGATGGACAAGCCATCTATTAGGCATATTGCTGGGCTTCAGTCCCAACTACTCCACACATTTGCACCTAGGCTAGGAGCGTACTACAAAGAAACGCTGAATGCACTCCTAGAGTCACAACCGGGGCTGGCTTGTAATTTCCATAACAGCGATTTTGCGTGTCTTACCGTAAACTTTGGACCGAATACCATATGCTTGGACCACACTGACTTCGTCAACCTTGCAACTGGGCTATGCGCCATCACTGCGCTAGGCGACTTCGATTCCAAACGAGGTGGCCATCTCATTTTTTGGGATCTCAAACTTATTCTCGAGTTTCCCAATCCAAGCGAGGGAACAAAGGGCATCACTCACACAATATTCTGCAGGAGGGTTATTTCGATGGGTTGAGAATGGATTTTGTAGGAACATTGATTGTACCCCCTCCAACAATCCCAAGGGCAATGGAGGGGACCGATGGGTGAAGGGGTTGAGTATGTTCGATGTACGCTCATAGGCTGTTAGATCAGATACATTGTCGACTTCGTTTTGTTCGTCAAGCCTAAGCGGGGCACTCTTAGATTCATTTCCAGACATTCAATTGATGTCCTTCGCAAACTCATCAGCGGTTCACGTGTATCGGGAATTGATCTTTCGCAAATTTATCAGCAGGAACGTGTATCAAGAATCAATATCCCGCACGACTTGTGCTGCTTGCCTTCGCTGACTCGTCGGCTCCTTTCGCTTTTTGCTTTTTGCTTGTCCATGTCAGGGTTCGTCTGTTCTTGGCGCCGAGTCGTTGACCTTATTCATTCCCCTCCCTTCGTTCCATCCCCTTCGTTTCAGAAAGAACAAGGGAGGAAGGGATAGGGGAAGATAGGGTGCAGTTCCTAATAGGGAAGTAAAGTAGCGCCTAGGAAATAGGCGGGTGTTACAAAAACAGTCAAACCTGTCCGTCGTTGTTTGACATACCGGCAACTTGCACCATGTCCAACTTGCCATTGGAAGCCATGCCTACATCACGATCAACAAGACCACGTTGGCGCGATAATTGTGTCGCCCGTGTCCACTCCGTTTGCCCCCATGGCGCATTCTGCCTCCTCGGAAACCACGCCATGGCTAATGGCGTGGAATACACTCAGCTTGTCCCAAGAGCGCTCTCCTCAAACAATAAACTCGTGAGTATCATTGCGCACATCTCAATACGCATTCCAGATGAACAAGCTGGAGCGGTACTGGGGCATGACGCGCCGCACTCTCAATCTGGATACTCGTTACAATGTGTTCCCATGTAAGCTGTCACTGTGTTCTCTGTTTCAAGTTTTTCTCAACTTCTTTCCAGGCAGTAGCGGACTGCATGTGTCGCATGATGCATCTGAATGGGGCCTGCTGCCTTTGGACAATATAGTAATGCAATATCACGATTCGCTTACCAAATTCCACTCGCATTTTCTTGCTGAGTGAACCGATTTCCACAAAATTTCTGTACGTTTTTGCATCTATGTCCTTCTATCTTCCATGTCTGACAATTACTTAGGATGGCCATTTCTTGTACCGATTTCTCCCTCTCCGCAATATGGAGACTGCCACTATTACCCGCTACCTCCGTGTACCCACTGCAGAGGATCCCCCACTGCGCCCTGAAGATGTTGTAAATCACTTCTTCCCTTTTGACTCCATTCCACCTTTGAAGTCCCATATTCACCCCAAGTTCGCCATTTTCGAGCTTGGACTTCAAGTCTCGCACTTGCCCTTAGATGTGTACCGCTCACTGCTTACCACTACTCCAGTTATATCCTCCGTTCTTGACATCTATTATGCTTGGACCAGGACTCCTCCCACTCGATTTCTGGAGGACACAGTGTTCGACCCGCCGCCTGGTAGCAGTGACTGGAGACAGCAAGGATGATGAATCGGGAGGCGATGACGACGATCCCAACGACAAAGACTGGAGTGAGGCTTCAACCATTCAACGCCGAATCAGCAAGCGCAAGTGCAAAACACCTACGCCACCTTCCCCCTCAGCTCGCCCAAAGAGGTCCCGCCCCATGGGCGGCACCCTCCGTGCGATACGTAGCTGTATTCCTCTCAGCAATCCGCCTCTGCGCATCAAGGAGTGGGTCCACGGGACACAGCTGGCACTCGATGCAGCAAACAGCAGGAAGGTTAGTCTTGGACAACGATGACCCAGTTGATGCCTCTAATGCTGATACTTTGCTTGCAACCCAGTTGCTCAGTAACAGGAGATGCCTGGATGGGGAGAAGCCTACTACCAAGAAGCGCAAGATCTCATAAGTACTGCGTGAAGAACCCTGCGTTATTGATCTGTAATACAAATCTCGACCTTATTTCCTTGTATTCCCTTGCGAAGCTTTATAAGGATCCGTTAGGGGGGTAACCTTAAGCGACTCTGAGACGTATACATGAGGTCTAGGTGGTCCGCAACGTAGAATAGCGCGTTACGCAGTTTGAACAGGAATGGCGTTTTGGACTCTGTCTGCATCTTGTACTCAATTTTACCACTGCTTGGGACAAAATGAAATGGTATGGGTACGTGAGGAAGACAGTCTAGGCAAGTAGGTCTGATGGTAAGTGCGTGAACAGCCAGTAAATGTCAATGAAATGGGAACATTTGAGCAGGGGGAGAGCAAATATTGTAGGTAAGTGAGCAGTATGTGTGGTATTGTGTTGGCATTGCAAGTGAATGGATGTGAGGAAGGTGAGCCAACGGGGGTGTAGCAGCTACCATGGCCACTCATCTACGGCAAAATGGAGTCAAAGCTACCACCAGGGGATCAAAGGGACTTACTGGAGACGGTGAACACCCAGATGTCGGGGTTGACATCTTTGGTGTCCAGAACGGTGAGCTTGAGGCGGAGAATGCCCGAGACAACACCACCTTGGAGGTGGTCAGGCTAACAAAGTCAGTAGGAGAATATGAATCGGAAAGGTAAACTGACTCACCAAAATGTTACCTGCCAAAGTCTCCTTAAGCCCGTAAGACATGTTGGCATTGTACACGTGTATGTGGAGAAGGCTGGATGAAATCTCGCCTTCAGCTGCTGGATAAAGTTCACCGTCAAATTATGCCGGATTGTTAGACATGGCACTGGTCTAGATACTTCCCAATGTACGTGGGGACAACGACGGTGCAAGATTGCAAAGCTACATCAGCAATCCATGAACTAGCCTAAGTCCTCCAGAATATTGTAAGGGTCATGTTTTATCAATCGTCCATAATATCTCCACGCCAGCCCTTGTGGTCCGAGACGACAAGCTTTTCTACACACCTTTGTCGTCTCTTTGTGGCCCACACTATCCGCACGAGCAGTCAACTCCGTCTTTTCGGAATAGGAGGCCCCTGATTTACGTCACGTCTCTCACCATCATTTGGCCATAGGTAATACCCATCGAATAAGCACTCAAATTCAAAGGCCGAGATGGCTGTTAACGAAGCGATTAATTTTATATAGTGCCTGCACTGGTTCCAGCAGATTATAGCCAGCAGTATTTTCTACATCAAAATAAACACCAAAGATACAGTCAGCTCGTCGTCTATCATCCGGGACTGTCAGCTTCTGCACCAGCAGTGCCAGAAGCGGTGTATGGCCTTCCGGGAAGGCTATTCTATGTTCCGTTTGAATGTGTGCATGATTAATATGCCTAATCCCATGCCAGACAATAGACCAAGACCTCCATATGCAGAAATAATTGCAAGTTACAACGACTACAAAGATAATCTACAGACCGCTTTTTGGCCAAAATTCCGTTGCATTGGAAAGCATGCTGAGGCCTTTTTGCCAGTGAGTGGCACGAGCCGCATCACATTGAGCCTTCAATGCAGGATCTCGGCTAGCCTCCCCATCGCGCTGCTTGTCAGACGCAAGCCCATTCTCTACCCAGCAGAAGAGCGTGCCCGCAGAATATTGGGTGAGGCTGTACCTTTTTTCCCCATCTCCAATGAGGGTGTTTGAATGCCTCATCACGGCCGACTGGATGAGGATTGTGGCGCCAGGTGGAAACCCGATCACCAGCCCCAAGTTCCAAAGGACCAGGTGGCCACCGCAATCAGGGTCAAATTGACCAAGGGCGGTGACGGCACACCATCCCCATGGTAGGTTGCCACTGTCGAGGTGGGGGAAGCACACAGTTTGGGGGCCCATATTGAAGGTCATTTCCGCCCAGGAGGACTTATCAAAGTTTCGCTGCAGGGAGGGATGGCCAGTGAGTAAAGCCTTCATTGTTTCGCTGTAGTAAGTGTAGGTGCGTGGGGAGTATGTAGCAAAGCCCTTGTTCTAAAGATTTGTTCAACTATGTTGAACTCTTTCTTTTCTTGACGGAATAAATACCTGAGGGCCGGCTCCAGAGAACTTGGAATATGTGAGTGTTCTGTTCTTTGGATGGTCACTTGTTAGGGCAACGCTAATACACAATAAGCGTACGCGGACCCAACAAGAATCGGAGCAAGAAGTAATAAGCTGAAGAGGTGAGAGTTGAGGAGGAAAGACGAAGACGCTGACTTAGGCACTGTATTAGTGTGATTCCCAAGAGAACGAGTTAACGTCTCTGGGTATAATATTCGGTCTTATATACTATTGTACATGCATATCCCTCATGTCTATCTACACGCCGTAGCCTGTCGGCTTTCCATGGAATGCTTAGCACATCACCGTGAGGCGTGATGTCATGTACTGCGCCCATGCGTCTACGGCGAGGTTCTGACTAAGGTTTTTAGTAATACGGGCCGGGGTCGTAAGCAGTCTGTGGTAAGTTACTACGTGTCCGTCATGTGATATATAGGGGAAAAGGAAAAGAGAAAGTCGAACCATAACATCACCCCCCCTCTACGACTCGTCAACTCCGTTTGACGACATTATTTCTTCGATATGAGCACTACCAGCTCGAACGCCTTCTTCCTCTCGTGGCCTATTCACCGACGTTTTCTTTTTGTTTTGGCCGTCTTCCTCGCCCTCGTTATTGTGGGGGCTTGGGTGGGTGCCATAGTCTGGTTCCTCCGGTTCGTAAATCTTGGTGTCAGTTACGAACGTAGGCTCAGTAAAAACGTGTCGTGGTTTAAAGCCAACGAGATCGAACGCTACGGCGGCGATCCGCCTTGGTGCGGCCGCATGTTGCGAATGAAATGCTCGTATTCGCTCCGGTGCGTGTTTTAGGCCTGCTTCCGGCTCCCAGGAGTCGTGTTCAGGGGTATAACCTTTCCATCTAACCAAGTATTCCAGCCGTCCGCGTCGGAGTCGGCTGTCTAGGATGTCCTCGACCTCCCACTCGTTTTCGCCCCTGATGATCACTGGTGGGGGCGGTGGAGCTTGTTGTCCTGGTATAGTCGGGGCGTTGGCCTTTTCGGTTCGATGGGTGGAAATGGTGGGATGAATAGATAGTTTTTTTGGGAGTTTTAGTGTTATTGCGTTTTTTGTGGGTACCGCGATCACCTCATACGGCCCGATTTTCTTTTGCTCCAATTTACGCGACGGCCTGGTCGTGTTTAAGTTATCCGTGAAGATAAATGCCTTGTCCCCTACTTGATACTTCGGCATTTCTCCTACTCGTCGGTCCGCGTATTTTTTCATCTCTTCTCCTGCTCTTGCCAATGCGGACCGCGCCTCCTCCCACGTCTGCTTCATTCGTTTCGCGAATTCGTCCACCGCCTCCACCTTGGACTCTTTCCGCGGCTCGATGCCCATCCGGGGGTGTTTTCCGTAGTTGAGGTAAAACGGGCTCTGCCTGGAGCTCGTCTGGGTTTTGTTGTTTAATGAGAACTCGCAGATGGCCAGCCATTCTGCCCAGTCGTCCTGCCTGTGGTTGATGAACATTCGGAGGTAGGTTTCGATTTCTCGATTCGCTCGCTCCGTCTGTCCATCCGTCTGCGGGTGAAAGGCCGTGGACAGTCTCGTTTGAATTCCCAATAAATTATTTAGTTCTTTCATCACTTGTGATGCGAACTGGGGTCCCCGATCTGATATGATGGTGTTAGGGAGTCCGTGAAGTTTCCAGACGTTATCCCGGTATAATTTAGCCAACCCAAGGGCTGATAATTCCTCAGTTGTTGGGACGAGACGAACCATCTTGGTGAATCGGTCGACGACTACTAGGATCGCATCGTATCCCGACGACTTGGGAAGTTTGACGATGAAGTCCGCGGATATGTCTGTCCACGGTTCAGATGGAATGGGGTTCGGTTGAAGTTTGCCTTGCGGTTGTCGGGAGTAGGCCTTGCTTCGTTGGCATTGGTCGCATCCCTTGACGTACTCCGCAATGAATCTGTTCATTCCCGGCCACCAATAGTTACGCGAGACCAGCTCAATGGTCTTCCACCTTCCTGGGTGTCCTGCGACGGTTGAATCATGGTGTAATTTTACGATTTCCCTTCTGATGTCAACATCCTTAGGTACGTACACCTTTCCGTGATATAATACGAGATCCTGCTCTTCCGACCATTCTGCTTCTCTCAGTACCTTGGTCGGCGACCTTTTTAGTTCGGTCACTGCCTTGACTACTGATTCATCGTAGCTTTTTGATTTTCTGATTTTTGATAGGATGGGCGACTCCGCGCCGTCAATTAAGACATGACCCTGCTGCATGGCCTTGATTCGAAAATATTCCGGCTTCAGAAGGACCATCGTATTGTCGTCCTCCCCCCTGTCAAGATCCGGTCGTCTCGACAGGACGTCTGCCTTCATATTCGAAGCTCCTGGCTTGTGTTTTAAAATAAAATTAAACCTTGACAGGTATAATGCCCAGCGCGCCTGGCGTCTGTTCAGCTTTTTGGTTGTCATGAAGTACTCTAGATTTTTGTGGTCCGTCCAGATGGTGAACTGACGGCTGTTTCCTTCTAGGTAGTGTCTCCATGCCTCCAGGGCGCGAATGATAGCCAGCATCTCTTTGTCGTGAATATCATAATTTCTTTCCGTCTCCGAGAACCCTTTCGAAAGGAAAGCGCAGGGTCTCCACTTCTCATCTTCACATAACATGGAGAGCACCGCTCCCGATGCATAGTTGGATGAGTCCGCCTCAATCTTCATCTCGCGATCCGTGTCTGGTAGCACCAGGATCGGTTCCTCCGTAAATAATGTTTTAAGCTTCTCAAAAGCTTCCTGCCTTTTCCCATTCCATACGAACTGCTCCTCCTTTTTGGTAAGTTCGTGCAACGGCTTAGCGACGGTTGCGAAGTCCTTTATGAACCGTCGATAGTAGTTGCTGAATCCTAGGAACTGCTGTACTTGTTGCACGTTCTTCGGAACCGGCCAATTTTTCACCGCTTCTATTTTCGCTTCCTCCAT